CCAATAAAAGGATATACAACCCCCCTCCCCCTCAAAACTTGGAACCTTGTACTTGCGAGGCAGGCGGTGCACCACTGAGCTAAATCCCTGGCCCTGATCTTACTTTCCTAAAATCTCTGGGTTCCTCCCTCTCAGGACCACTTCAAGGTCATCCAGGTCCTTGTCATATTTGACCCCTGTCTCTTCAACCTAATAGGAAAGTTTGTCCGTTCAAGGTTTCAGATGATGGTCCAGGCTACAAGCCATGACTCTCCTGACAGATTCATAGCTTTCCCCTTTGAAGGGGCAGCTCATTAATTTCTCGGAAACAGGCACTAATTGTTTTCTCATTGTCTTCTGACAGGTTCTTATCAGCCTGGCTGGTAAGTTCCAATACCCCAAGGTAGAAAGAGAGCACATAATACCCAGTAGAAAGAACCTATAGCCCCTTTCAGCAGGAAGCAACTATAAGAAGAAAGTGACCTCCACTCCCTCAGCATCCCATAAAGAATTATAAGGATTATGTCTCTCAGGGGAGGAGAAAATGAAGTAGGAGACTCTAGGCTTGGCTCCTGAGCACTGTACACAGAACCAATCAGAAAGTGATATTTTCAATACCTCCTTTGAATTTGGTCCTATCTGCAGGATCAATCAGGAAGTGCTATTTTCAATTCTCCATATACATCTGGTTGGAAGCCAAATGAATTTTTTGATAGGGCAGGTTAAATCTGGAGCCAGGCCAACTGAGATTTTACTAGGACAACTGTCATGTCTTATTTGCATTAAGGAGAAGCCAACCTGGGAATTTCAAATAGAAAATTCCCTTTCCCTTATCCTCAGGGCCTCAACGAGTCTGTTCACCCACCCACTCTCACCCTGTAGAGCATACTTCTTTTCTACCCGCGATAAATGTACACCCTCACTACTTGAAGAAGAAGGAGAAGGAGATGAGGGAGAAGAAAGAGAAGAAGGAATCAAAGGAGAAGAAGTAGGAGGAAGAGAAGGAGAAGGAGAGAAGGAAGAGGAGGAGGAGAAAGAGAAGGAGAAGGAGAAGAAGAAAAGGCAGCTAGGCATGGTGGCACATGTCTATAATTCCAGCACTCAAGAGGCTGAGGCAGAAGGATTGCCAGAAATTCAAGGATACATAGTGAGTTCAAGGCCAGCCTGAACTACACAGCAATACTGTTAAAAAAAAAAAAGACAAAACAAACAAAACACAAAACGAACTAGAAACACTTAAGTAGGTGGATTTAATGATAGTAAAGCACCAATGATATTTTCTGATTTTAATGTTGATGGTTATATTTTCTTGATATTAGAGAATATCCTTGTTTGTAGGAAGCTGAAGTATTTGAGAGTGATGCAATATCAACTACTTTCAGTTTGTTTAGGAGGGAAAGTTGTTTGTGTTATTCTTCCAATTTCTCTGTAAATTTTTTAAACTAGGGTAACCATAGCTAAAAAATTCTTCAACTTAATAACTGGGTTGACTTTAGGGATAATAGGAATTGCTGTCAAAAACAGTTGCAAGTATTCCCAGCAATGAGGTTATCTGTCACATTTTTTAAGAACTCCATTCCCAAAAAGGAACCAGATCACTCCCCCCGACCCCCAACTCTGGTACTTAGCCTGAAACTCACTCAGTTGATTCTCACAGTACTGTTTCTTTTTAGTGATAATCAGTTTCCTCTCTGAGACGGTGTTAGGGGTAGAGGTAGAGCATCCTTAAATCATTAATTCCTTTGCTTCCCAGATGGTTTCTTTTATTGGTTTCTTTGCTTGCTTTCTAACATTTTAAAAATTGTATTTTTACTGTAATTACATGGTTGATAATGGGAATGCATTTCCAGGTCACAAAACATAGTCAATCATTTCACAAAAACCAGAAGAGAGCTCTGATAAATAAATAAGAAAGATTGAATTTTACAAAAAAAAAATCTGAAGTTCAGAACCAAACCCCACTTCTAGTAGAATCATTCAAATGAAAGAAAAAATTGGAGGCCAAATATTAAAATATCTCATAAGATTATTACAGACAACTAAGTTAGACAGAAATTAATATGCAGTCAGAGAGGGATCGGGCCCTCAAGGATGTCAGTGCAGAAGATGAATACACATAAAAATTGTATCTGGAGGTGAATCTGAAGAGGGTCAGACCTCAAGTAGAGACTAATAGCCAGGCCTGCAAGCCTTCCTAGAGATAAACAGCAATTTGAGATTATGCTGTAAATTAGCACTAGGTCCAGATAAACATCAGACGTATAGGTGAGTAACCAGAACATCTGGACTCACACTCCCCTCCCTTTCCAAGAATGCCTTTTTCTTTCCATGTACCCTTGCTATGTGACTCATTTCTCTATTGGATCAACATTAGCTAAGTGACTATACTTATAATCCTATAGGTTGATTGTAGTTTGACTCATGTTGTACCCACATTGTGGTTTTGCTGCATAAATTACCACTGACAAAGGGCCTCAGTGGCCACCCACTGAGGACTCCTCTGGAAATTCAGGAGCTAGTCTTCTTATTTCCAATAAAACTCTCCTAGCATTCTTCTTTGGTTCTTGACTTAAGTCGTCAGTGTTGTGACACCCTAAACTCAGCACATCTGACATCCGACAGTTGAGAATTATTTTTACCGTAACAAAATGACTTTAAGGAATCTGAGATACCATAATGAAATAATTATGGCTAGTACCAATTATAAATCTTAGGAAATTACTCGAATTCTGAGAAGCAATCTGCTGCTTCCTTCTCAATAGTCTGAGTACTGTATTGGAGGCCCAAACCCAAAGCCTGCTGGACTTTTGAAATAGATCCAGGGTCAGACCACTAATGCCCATCTATGGTCAAGTCTGCCTTCCACACTCTTTTGTGACTTTGCTCCTCTATCCCTTGTGGCTCCTGCTGACTCCTCAGGGGGCTGAAAAGCTGAGGACGGCTCAGTTTACAAAACAATAGACGAGACCACTGCCAAGAAGTGCTTGCTCACCTCTCCTTCAACTGCAGGGGAATCTCCCTTTCCTTTCTTGGGGGGAAGCTTACTAGATATTCAAAATTAAGCTGAATCCTTCTCAACAACCCCAGCCCACACCTCCCAGCAAATGAACTTGAAAAAAACCCTGGTGTCAAAAATTACCGCAAACTATATTGCCATAAGAAAAAAATACTTCCTATATTTGAGATCAGAGAACAGAGTGGCAGCACAATTTCCTGGCTGAACACACCAGTGTAATACTTAAAGAGAGCGACTCCTTACTGTTATAGAGACTGGATGGACCGGCCAAGATGACAGCCCAGGAGCATTGATCCTTTCCTTTGGCATCCTCTCAGCACCATGCAAGAAAGAGGCTAAGAGGCAGCCAACATACAGCAGAGAACACCTCTTCTTTACTGCCCTACGCTGACCCCAAGTGCCCGGAGGATGGAGCCACGCTTGCTGACATGGGGATTATTCACATTCATCATGGTACCTGGCTGTATGACAGGTAAGGGGCCATGAATTGTCCTCTGAATCTTGGGAGGGCTCATGAATGTTAGCCCCCTCAGCTCAGAACCAGAAAGGGCACAAAAGAGAAAGTTCTGAGGAGGGAGTTGAATCTTGCCTATGACCTACTGGGGCTTAATTTTATGCCTCAGTGGCCCCTGATCTATAAAGAAAGCACTGAGTGAGGCTCTACTATTATACACAGCCTTGACAGTTAATCCAGGGAGGGATAGAGTTTAATTTTCTAAACAGCCCCCTCTGGCCTTCTCAACTGTAATGTAATACTGAAAAGCTCTTATGGATCTAAGTCCAGGTTAATTTCCCTGAGACATCAGTAACTCATACATGAAACATTAGGATTTTTAACATCTCAGAAAAAATTTAGCTTAAAGGATGGATTCTTTGTTTTTACTGCCTCTAAAAATAACACCTAGAAAGTTTTTAACAAGTGCAACTTCATTGAAATTTCAGAAAATATCAACATATTCACTTTTAGAACATTAATTTTTTGTTTCTCTGTTTATAAATGATGTGTATGATGTGTCTATATATGCAAATTTTTTATCGTCCTGGGTTTTCTTAGATTTTTTTGAGAAATAAAAACCCCACTAACTTAATACCTCAAACCAACCTTCCTATTTGTGAATTTTCTAATATCTTCCCTTGATGATCCAGAAAGATAGATAAGATATAAATATGTATTTTTGAAAGTCTATAGCTTCATATCCTTAATTTCTAGAAATAGACTTCTTTAGGCTGCAGAAAAAAAGTGTTAAGAGAAAAAAATCACTATCATGGCTTTTCCTCACAATAGCCTACCCTGCTTTCTCCAGGGTATTCTTTTAACTTGCTTTCCTCCCTTTTACTTGGTCCAAGATTGCTCTACAGAGCCAGTTTCTCTCCTACCCTCTACTTTTACTTTCTCAAATAAACTTTGTCACTTTTAAAAAAAAAAAGAAAAGAAAAATGCATGCAAAAATTTGGTGGTTTGGGGGAAGTGGCTAGATTGAGTTGGGCTCTGTACTGACCCACTTACAGGAACTTGCTCACTTTGGAGTTAAAGGGGTAATGGTTTTAGGAAGGTTTATAATGTAATTTCTTCCTCAGGAGGGTCTTTGCCAGGCTGGTCCAAGCCAGAACAACAAAAGCTTTATAATCAATGATGTCCTATCTATGGGAACACATTTCAAGCAAATTTGTGTTATTACTAGCCATGAATGATTTATCTAGGGACAAAATGGTCTAAGAGACAGTAGGGCAAGTGAAATATCATGTAGTTACTTTCTTTCACTCAATTTTGCAAAACTCTATCGAATACTTCTTAGATTTCTTTTCAACACTGTAGGAAATAAAAACATGAACAAAACATGGTGCTGATCCTTGAGAAACTTACTACTTCACCAGAAGAGGAAAGGCTCAGATAGACTAACAGTAATGCAGGCTGGGTTATGATGAGGTCTACAGGACCATGGAGCTGCGAGAGGCTTTGGGAAGGTGACATACGAACAGGACTCTGAGGGACTGGGATATTTCTGCAAGTGCAGATTCCAAATAGAAAGGACACACACAAAGCACACAGCAGAGGATTATGGAACAAAAAAATGGTCTGCTGTTCTCTGCTCTAAATAGGCATGTGGGGATACATGAATTAAGACTGGAAAAGCAAGCCCGGTGTGGTGGCACATGCATGTAATTCCAGCACTTGGGAGGCTGGGACAGGTGGATCGCAGTGGGTTTGAGGCCAGCCTGGACTACATAGTGAGGTCAAGGCTAGCCTGAACTATGTAGTGAGACCCTGCCTCAAAACACCAAAACAAAACAAAACAAGAGTGGAAAGGTGTGGTGGGGTCAAAGAAATGACCCAAAGCCTTTGATACCAAGTTGAAATTTTAAAAATTAATTTGGTAAGCAATAAAGGACTACTAGAAAACTTAAAAAAATATGATTCCTAAGTACTTTCCATGTGCCAGACATATGATTCTTATCCTAATCTTTATAACCACTCTGCAGTGTGGATATGGTGAGACCCTAGATGAAGAAGAACCCAAAACTCAGAATTTCACAGGCCCCAACAGCACCAGAGCTCAAACCCAGCCTTCTTGGTTTATGACCTTTGCGCTCACTGCCAACAGGGTCAGATGTGACTCTGATATAGAGTGGAGGGAGATCAGGTGCTGGGAGATAGATTGTGAGGCTCTTAAAATAGCCCAGAGGCCAAAATGAATGAAATAGATTGAATTTCTGGAACTAACAGATGGCACAGGAACCACTCCAGGGAAAGAAGTAATCTCATCTCAGACTTCTTCCTCAGGAGGAATCTAGTCTTAAAATACTAAGTCTTTTTTAATCCTTTGGGATGAGAATTCTCTTAACAAAATCAATGGACTGTCAACAGATACAATTTCTAGCTGATTCATAAGGCGGATTTTTCATTCTGAAAATTTCCAAAGCCACCATTTAAAATTGTGATGGGGTGCAGGGGATATATTAGTCAACTTGAGTGTTTTTATTCTCTATATTACTGGGTCCTGGGATGTGGTTAAAAAGAGAATTCTCCTGATGTTGCCAACACAGCAAGTTATTAAAGGCATCTTTCTCAGAATTGTGGAAATTCTGAGTGTTTACATGTCTCTTAATCATCTCTCTTTCATTCTAGGAATTCTGTGATCAAATCTTTATCCCCTAGACTCAAAAACATATATATAGAAAGAAAAGGCACAGAAAACCATTATGGCAATATGTTTGTCTAATTATCCCTTCTTGTAAACACTACTGCCTACACTAGAGTTTCCCACCTTCAAATTTGCCATTAAAATATAAAATGTTTTACCCTTCATTTAATCTTTGAGTTGCTCTAGACCCTCCACCCCTCAAAAGTATTGCTACCATCTCTTGTTCATCTTCAAGTCAGACTCAAAGAGGGAGGGCTTTGGCAAGCATTGGGAATACCTTATAATATAGCCACTATTTTCTTTAAAACAGTGTGTTTTAAATAGCTGTTTGATGTATTGTCTGTACATATGCTCTCTTTTGGACTTGAGAATTGAAAAGAAAAGAATCGACTTTATAGTTTGGTACAAAACAACTGGCTTCACTGATGCTAGTTAGAGATGCTAGTGAAGAATGGCTAGTGTACTCTACAACTCCACTGTGCCCTCATCACAAAGACAGTAATTCTTAGAATTTGTTTGGCTAAAGCCATAATATTCTGAAATTTAAAAAAAAAATTTTTTTTTGGAGACAGGGTCTCACTATGCAGTCCAGGCTGGCCTTGAACACACTATGTAGCCTAGCCTGGCCTCAAACTTATGGTCATCCTCCTGCCTCAGTCTCCCAAGCACTGGCACTATAGGCATGTGCCACCACACCCAAGCCTTGGTATTCTGGATACTGGTGTGCAATTTCTGTGGAAGTCATTCCTAGGCATAGGCAAAATTAAGGCAGGCTATTACTCAACACAGTGACTATTCAAGTTAATTCCCTGATCCCCTAATTGTCCAATGATGAATAGGAACTTTACAAATAAACAGAATTCCTCTAGGAAATGGGGCATGTCATCTGAGGTTAGTGGGGAATAGAATTAGGATGAAAATGAACTTTGCAGGAAGAGGAAAATGGAGCAAGACACTTTCTGGTGACATTGTTGGGGACCAAAGAGAAGATATGCAGAAAGTCGTGTTAAATTACTCTCTGTGAAAGGAAGTTGACCAAGAGATCTCAAAATTCCCTTCCAGTTCCATCACTCTATGTCAAGAATTCTGAAAAGAAAAAAGCTTTACTTAAAAAGTACTTTCAAGTGAGGGTACTTTTGGAAGTGGAAAAATTTTCCAGCTGAAGACATGCTCAGCAGGGTCAGGGTTAAGAGATCTTGAATGTCAACAGACCAAAGCCTGAAATCTCATTGTAGGTTATTTCCAGCTCTTAAAAGGTACTGCCCAACACCGCAGTATGACCTGTTGCTTCCGTACTGCTGCAGTGGTAGGTATCAAGTCAAAAATACCGCATAGATAGACCAACAGTATTGTTATTCATTTGCTTGGTGAGGGAATTTCTGCCCCCAGTGTCCTTGTTTCTCACAGGAGAGGTTTTACATGAGTGGGAATCTAGCTGTCTTCTCTTTTTACCAAGCCATTCGCTGTGAGGAAAGGAGAAAGGACCTTAATTCAATAGATTGCTTCAAAAAGTTATGAGCCCTTCATCTGTGAGCATGTTCAAGTAAAAACTACTAAAATCCAGGTTTCTTAAATTCTAGCCCAATTTTTCTTGTACATTTTTACATTGATTTGCAGTGATACTCCTTCATCTATCCATTCCTGCATTAGAATTACAGAGATGAACAAGGTTATAGTCTTATTCCTTAAACTGTTTATAGTGTAACAATGGAAAGAAACATCTGTTGACCAATTCCTATCTTGAAGATTGCCCAGGGACTGCCAACAGTATTTACAAATGAGTATCCCATCACTAATTTCCACACCATGTTTTCAAGTAAATCACTCATTTAGGGGAAAGTGATATTATAACCATCTTTAGGAATTTTGGGTATTCCTACTCTAAGATTCTTCACATAGTTTTGGCTACTGGACTGACTTTAATGTACTCTGGAATTCATTTTCATCAACAAGAGAACACAGATCCCACTGGGAAATGGTTTTGGAGCAACGGTTCCCAACACCAGCTGCACATTAGAATGTGCATCTGGAATACTATAAAAGTGATAATCTAGACTCATTAAGACTAATGAAGTCAGACTCTCTGGGGAGGAGAATCAGAAATAACATTGACATTTATTGCAAGTTTCTCAAATGACTTAAGATGCAGTTAGGATTGAATCCTATAACTTTAGGGAGACAAAAGAACAATTCCTATAGTTGGCTAATTCTATTATTCCAGCTCTATTCATCGAAAACACAGCAGTTCTTCTCAAACTGTGACACATTTACAAGTCACTTGGGGATCTTGTTATAAAGCAAATTCTGATTCTGGAGAGCTGGTTTGGTG